GAGGTCAGATAGAAGACTGAAGGGGAGGACAGAGGTCAGGTAGAAGACTGAAGGGGAGGACGGAGGTCAGATAGAAGACTGAAGGGAAGGACGGAGGTCAGATAGAAGACTGAAGGGAAGGACGGAGGTCAGGTAGAAGACTGAAGGGGAGGACGGAGGTCATATTTAAGAAAGAACTCCTCAGTTTACAGATCTGGCCGATATGAGCTGCAGAATTATTATTTTTTACACTTCTTCCTTTAGTGTGTTTATTGAGGCAGCTGAAAGCTGACTTCTGATTGGTTGCTGCAGACCATTGCACCATTCGCTGTCATAGCGATCATTGGATGCCGGCGGAAGATTCACGCACACCGCTTCCAAGCTAGATTGAGACGGTGAGAGCAGCGCTCGGCATGGGTACGATTTATAGCCGTGCCGCCATTAAGGGAAGAATTAGCCGATGGCGACTCGGATATTAAAGGGTGAGGAAGCCGTGAATTATTTTCTTTAAAGATCTTATTGCTTACAATGATGATTCTACCTGACGAAAGGCCACTTTTAATGAGGGAGAAGAGGGGAAAGTTGTGATTTAATGCCGGCTCTGACTCCGATTTTTTTTTCCTTAAACACATTTACGGCTTTTTTCCCCTGTTTTATAAAGGCGAGTGACCTTTTTTCTAGCAATCTGTCGCGCCCAGGTGCGCTGATAAAACAGTTATTCATTGCGATTGTACATTGAAGAATTGGAACGCGTGACGCCGCGCCGCACATTTCTGCCAGATATTAAAGATTTTTTTTTTCCCCCCCCAGCTGCTATTAGCACTGAACAGTCAGGCGTACATTGCGATCCTCCAGAGGTACAACAAGAGCCAGTTGTCAATAAGTGATCCACACACATAAATCAGGATTCCAAACATACACACGGCTGACATACATGTGAACTGTTTTTCCTGACAAAGGATTTTGAATTCTATTTGGCCAGTCTTGTTATTTGCACAGCTTTGTAACACCACACAGGCAGATGGCATCTCAAAGTACTGGTTCAGCTTTGCCATTTCCGTAACTCAACAGCTCAGCTCCTCCTCCCAGCAGTAACTAAACAACTTACCTCCTCCTCCCAGCAGTAACTCAACAGCTCAGCTCCTCCTCCCAGCAGTAACTAAACAACTTACCTCCTCCTCCCAGCAGTAACTCAACAGCTCAGCTCCTCCTCCCAGCAGTAACTAAACAACTTAGCTCCTCCTCCCAGCAGTAACTCAACAGCTCAGCTCCTCCTCCCAGCAGTAACTAAACAACTTAGCTCCTCCTCCCAGCAGTAACTCAACAGCTCAGCTCCCCCTCCCAGGAGTGGCTCAACAGCTCAGTTCCCCTTCCCAGGAATAACTCAACTGCCGACTTCTCAGAGAGGGGGACACCAAAATGGCTGCCAGTCATTTTAGTGTCACCGGGAGCAGGCTGTAACCCCCGTGTGACACCACTGCTCCCAGTGACTTGCAGTGCCTCGTGGGACTTGTAGTTTCATCACAGTTGCATTGCTGAGGTTGTGCTTTATCTTTGCACTGACCACCTAAAGTTGTCCATTACCCACCTCAGGATCACCCTTTACTTCTGCGTCCCCCCCGCCCCCCGGTAAGTGGTGAGCGGTCATGGTCTCCTTCTCTCCTTGCTGGCGTGACTTGGCATGAGCCCTCGCCATACTTAGCATGCTAGCCGGGTATTTAGAACTGAAGTGGTTTCCACACAATTTAGAAATAGACAGTTTATTAATTTGAACTGCAGGCACATGCAGAAGAGGCCCGGAGATTGACATCCGCGGGATTAGTTTAGCCCTGTTTTTTTTTTCCAGAGGTCATCTCCATGGCGCTCAGGAAGAATGCCGGAATAATGGGCCCTCGCGTTCTTCCCAGGGCCGCTCTCAAAATAAAACCAATACATAACGTTTCACTTACTGTCTCCCGGGCCATTTTTCACCAAACAATATTGCTCCGGGAATGTTTTATCTATCTCTTTGTCGGGATTTGATTTTTTTTATTTTATTTTATCCTAACCTGTTTCTGGTCTCTTCTGCCCCCATGGTTGGCAGTTATGATGAAACCGTAGTTAAACGGCGGAGAAAAAGGCAAGGAGGAGAGTTTAATCTGCCTGGGACCTGTAATTACACCGCTCTGTACTGGTTAATGGCATTCAAACTAAAGATCAATTCCTTTTTATGGGTATTCTTCACGAGAGATCACTTGGCTGGCTGATGCCCCATCGAGCCGGGAGATGCTACATAGAATGTTTCTGCTCAGACAAATGATCAAACGAGCTTTGTGTTTGGAAAAGGCGAAATAGCACAATAGCGCGTGCAGGGCGCGCGCGAAAATAGTACATAAAAGCTTTGGAAATTTCTGGCTTCTGACAATTTCGTCTGACATTTTCATCACCCCCCTTTTATTTCTCTCTCTCTCTTTTTTTTTTCTCTCCCTCTGCAGTCAATGCTGTTATCGGCTTCTATCAAGCGGGAAGGGGAATCGCCGACGGCTTCACCGCACTCCACGGATGACATTCACCATTCGGACAGATACCAGGTGCGCAGCTATTGAAGTAGCACAATGATGCAATGCAGCGGGATGAAGTGATTGGCTAGTTATTAAGCGGCAGCAGTGGAGTCCTTCAATACAGTGGGATAGTGGGGTCTGCACTGGTCTCCAACCTTCTTCTGTATATTGGTGTTCATACATTTCACTGAAGGTCAGAATTCTGAATCCGAGTTAAGGATGAACTCCGGGGATATATAATGGATACATAATTGCAGCTCAGTGTTCAGTAATACATCATTACCTATATTTTTAAATGCATGCAGCAGGGCCGGCCCTATATTAAGGCATGCTGAGGAGGTGGCCTCAGGTGGCATCTCATTGGTAGGGTGGCAGGTGTGGGGGGGCGTCCACAGTGTCCCAGGTTGCTAAGAGCTGTGACACTGTCCATCTTCCTGCCCAGCTCACTGATATCATTAGTCATCGTTGTCAGGGGGCTGAGCAGGATGCTCTGGATGGTGTCCCAACAAGCTCCTGGCAACCTGGCATCAGTGAGCTGGGCAGCACAGGACAGAGATCTGCTGATAGCACAATGCCTCTAACACAGTTGCTCATCCCACCATATCCAGTCCCCTCCCCGACGACTGCTATCTGCAGCACACTAACTGGACAAAGAGCCACTGACAGCATGGTGGCTCTCCTCTAACACAGCCCCCCATCCCACCATATCCAGCCCCCTCCCGGGCAACTGAAATCTGCAGCACTCCAACTAGACAGAGATCCGCTGACACAATGGCTCTAACACAGTCACTCATCCCACCATATCCAGTCCCTTCTCGGGCGACCAATATCTGCAGCACCTCAACTGGACCAAGAGCAACTGACAGCATGGTGGCTCTCCTCTAACACAGCCCCCCATCCCATCCCATCATATCCAATTCCCACTTCCCTGACCACCGCTTTCAGCAGCACCCCAACTTACTCCCACTCTATGGCCTCAGGCAGCATATAGAGTAGGGACAGCCCTGGAAAGCAGGGTAAGTACCTACATTTAATCGGCGTCAGCCCCTTGCAATCAGACTGGGAGAGGATAAAGTAGCACAAGGAGCAAATCGGTTGTGCTTCAGTACTTATTTAAACAAAACATGAGGGGTACTGCAGAGCAAAAACAACATTACTATGAAAATATAGATCGAGCCAGGAGCATTTGAAGGGGGAAGCCCCAAAGTAATGCTGGGGCATTCTCCTACTAAAAAAAAAAAACCTGCCCAGCGAACAACTTTAAGCTTGTAGTATATTAGGATGCAGAATGTGGAGGGACAACGTGTTAGTCAAATATTCCCTTGTACTGATAATTACCCCGCAGTGACAGGATATAGGCCCTTCCTTTAATAAAGCCATGTTGTAACTGTGTGACTTCATACAAGGTGGCAGCAAATTGCATGCAGTACCCTTGCACATCCTGCGCTCATCTCCAAAGTGCCTCTGTAGAACAGTGAAAGCTTTTCATTTCTGCCATGTCTGAGTCAAGCTGTCACAGCGAGAGTGACTGTGAGCGTTCAGTGATAGGAGTGTGAGAGCTGGCACTCGCTGGATGGATCTGGTCCAGCCTATAGAGAGTGCGGCTTTTTCTACACAGCGCTGTCACTGCAACGGGACTGACATCCCCCTGTCTGAGAGCCATTAGTACAGACAGCCTGGCGGATCTACGCTTCTCCAGAGCTGACAAGTGTGGAATTGCAAACCACTAAATATAGAATAGTCACCGTCTGAGCGTAGGAAACATTTGTATCCCTTACACAGAATGGGAAAGGATACGTCTCCCAAAAATTCTGTGTGTTTGACAAAAAAGATGCAAAGATTGTATTCACAGGAGAAAAAAATACCGCTGCTGGACGTCTTCGAACTATACGTGCCCAATGGTTACATTGTTTTATTTAATTCTTTTAATATTATTTTACTCTTAAGCGCTGGGCACATAAGAGAACAAAATCATCCGTCACAGATAAAAGCAAAGCTGCTGCTGCTTTAGTGGAAATGTATAGGAAGTGCGGAGTTGCCTAAATTAAAGTGACACTAAACCCCGGAGTTAAATCTTAAAAATCCCTTCGAGTCCCTCAAATCTGAACAGCAATGTATCTTATTTGTGTATCACTCGGCTGTAGATCCTCCAATCATCTCTGAATTGGTGCTGACACTGTCCTTCCTTCTGGAGGTGGGGCCACTTGTAAAGTATTATTCAGTTCTCTTAAAGCAGGCCTCCCCCCAAACTATGTGCATTTTGGAAATCCCAAATATGCCGTTTACAAGCGGCCGCTGTCACCCGTTCAAGTTAATGATCAGGTGACAGCGGCTGCATCTGTAGGCGGTACGCACAAAGTAATTGCATGTGATACAACTGCATGTGGTTTGTAATAGATCACTGTTCCTGGACACATCTACTGACAGTGATCTATTCCTAACGTCATGCAATCATATCACATATGATTACATGTGGAGTACTGCTCAGACGCGGCTGCCGTCACCTGATCATTAACTTGCACGGGTGACAGCGGCCGCTTCTCAACTGCATAATTGGGATTCCTGCCGCAGGAATTTGTACGTTCCTGCCGCAGGGATTCCAAAATCAACATTCACGTGGTAAAAAAGTCCCTCGCACTCCAATGAGAGTTTCACTCAATGTTCTTTTTTGACAAAAGAATTGGCACTTCGTATAGTAACATATAGGAACCGTATAGGTCCCTTCTTCAGACAAATACAGGCAGTCCCCGAGTTACATACATCCGACTCCTATTTACAAACGGAGGCTATTACTGTACAACAGGGGTAGTTGTAATGCTACCGCGCTCATACCGACCAGGAGTGCCCGCCTTTTTGGGTCTGGTTCGTAGTCCTGTACGTACATTAGACGAAGTTGGCTCTTGTTAGACGTGCAGACGAGGGGTGGCCCGCCTCTTCTCCCGGGTCACTGTGAGGTTTTTACTGCCGTCTGTATCCTCATTAGAAAGATTAATTCTCACTTCCTGTCTTTGAGACAACAGGAAGTGAAAGGATATCTACCCCAAGGAAGGGAAATTCACTCCTGTAAGAGTGATCATGGGAAAAAGGTATCTCCACTGAAGCTTTATCACCAAACCTTGTTTCCAGAAAGTGAGGTGAAATCTTCTGAACGGGGGCGCACACACAGCAAAACAAACATTGCAGGGGGTTAACCCTTCCCTATGCTATCCAAACCAAAAAGAAAAAAAAATTGTGGCTGGAGTTGCACTGTACCTGTTCCAACTTACATACAAATTCAACTTAAAGTGACATTAAAAGATATTTTTCCCGCCCCCCAATTTTAATTAAAGCACTTACCTTAAATGATGTCTCTTAATCCGATCTTCTTTTTCTTTCCTGTCGTTTTCATCTGTCCCTCCAGCACTGCTGCGGGTCTCCGATCCAGCGCTGACTTCTCTGTCCTTGCTGGCACTTCCTGTATCACGGTGTCTGCATGCGGGTGCACGCCGTCCATAGACTTACCTTGTGTCTCTCCTCGTCTCCCGGCCGAAAATGTGAACTGCGCATGTGCCCACCCCAAGATGCTTTTCGGCCACCCGAGAATTTTCACATTTTCGGACGGGAGCGCGCGGGGAAGGCAGGGTAAGTTTAAACCGCTTTTTAAGTGTTTTTTTTAAACACTTTTTGCATATATCTACTGCTTGCTAGCCTTATACAGTGGCATCACAAGGGGGGTGCAGTGCGCACCCGGGTGACACTATTGGAGGGGTGACACCAAAATGACTTGCAGTCATTTTGGTGTCACCCCCCTCTGAAAAGTCTGGCGCTCGTTCATGGACCGAACGCCCGACAGTATCAGGAGAGAGGAGGGGACCCGGCGGCATACCTTATCCCGCCGGGTGGCTGTCTCCTCCTCTCTCTGCCGGCGTCCATCACCTAGATGGCCGCCAACAGGTATCAGAATACTGCCGCGCGTGCGCGATGACATGATCGCGCACACGCGTGTTATGAGTCTCTCTCGTATATTAGTTTCACCTTTTAAGTTGCATTAGTGAAATAAATGAACTTTGCACGATATTCTAATTATTCGAGTTTCACCTGTATATCTGCAAAAACACCGGAGGGTTTAATAGCCCTTTAAGAACAAACCTACAGTCCCTATCTTGTTCGTAACCTGGGGACTGCCTGTAAACACTTTGTCTGCCTGAAGAAGGGCCCTATATGGTTCCGAAATGTTGCTATACATTGTGACAATTCCTTTGTCAATAAAGAACATTGAGTGAAATTCTCATTGGAGTGCGAGAGACTTTTCTACCACGTGACACTGATCTGCAGAGGTTTCAGCACCCACCCATTACCTTGGGGTATATCCGGTCAGGAGTGGTGCGATGAGATCTACTTGAATTCCAAAATGCACATTCACCCGTAGTGTGAATGAACCCTTAACCTCCTTGGCGGTATTCACGAGTGTGGCTCGGGTTTAATTCTCTGTACCATAAGCGGTAACTCCGAGCCACATTCGGGAATACACAGCGCGTCTCTTACCTTGTCCCTCGAGCCGCGTCCATCTTCTGTCCCTTGCGAGTGTCCGTGTCGCAGGGGGGCAGAACCGGCGGGAGTTTTTCAGGCCTAAAATGTGGAATATAACATGGGTGCAAAAATGGAAAAAAGGGCCTCAGTCATGAAGGGGTTAAAAAAAACAAAAAAAAAACCTAAAACAAATAGAACGAAAAAAAGAGAAAAAAAAATCATACCGCCAGGGAGGTTAAGGGACAAGCAAGAAAACTAATATTTATGTGTTTTACTATATTCACTTAAAGGAGAACTATGGGGTTAAGTCTTTTCCCCATAGTTTTCCTTTGGGTAACGGGAGGATTGTTCGCTCACCTCCCGATCTACTGAGCCGACCTGTGACAGTCTCATTGCCACAGGTCGGCTAGAACTATGAGGCGAGTGAAAAGCACTCCCCCCCCCCTCATAGTTCTCCTTTAATCGATGTTGGTGGTTTATTATAAGCATCCAAGACTCACCTTCCCCTCCAGTGGTCCGACTTCCATGAGCTCTGTCGCCAACATCTTCTCCTTAGCTTCTACGGGGTCCCATCGGCCAGATGCACATCCAGGACTGCTGCTGTATCCCAATATGATGGAGTCGTTTATTTCCGAACTGCAAACATAAAATCGCATAAAAGCATTACAAGCAGGTTTCAGAAACAAGAGCGGCCATGACACAGACGCGCCGCAGTGTGGATGAGATCTGGAAAAGGTTTTAATTCTATTAACACATCCGGCAAGGACACGCAGGGACGCGCAATGGAATCACAAGCATGTGTTCATTGAGCTGCCAGCATCTGAAATTCCAGATAATCCACTTTGTTATGTTCTATGTCGGAGGGTCATTGTCATCGTCCACCAACGCCGAATCCACTCAGGATATGAAATAAATAAATAAAAAGCCTATTGTACTTAAAGCCAAACTCCGGGAAAAATGACCATTTACACCGGGTGTGTGACTTATCATTAAGGCCCCGTTCACACTGAGCGATTTATTGCGCGGTAATTCCCGCGATATCGCGGCTATTTACCGCGCGATATCGCTCTACAATGCAATCCAATGGGGCTCTGTCCGTCGCTGTCGCGGGTCGTGCGTCGCTACAGCAGGACCCTTTTTGGAGCGGATTTTGCCGCGATTCTAGCTTGTTCAATGCAAGGCCCCATCACACACGATGACGTGTGATGTGTATATAGCAGGCAGTATATGACGTGTGATGTGTATATAGCAGGCAGTATATGACGTGAGGTATATAGCAGGCAATATATGACGTGAGGTGTATATAGCAGGCAGTATATGACGTGTGAGGTATATAGCTGGCAATATATGATGTGAGGTGTATATAGCAGGCAGTATATGACGAGTGAGGTATATAGCAGGCAGTATATGACGTGTGAGGTGTATATAGCAGATGGTATATGACGTGTGAGGTGTATATAGCAGGCGGTATATGACGAGTGAGGTATATAGCTGGCGGTATATGACGTGTGAGGTGTATATAGCAGGCAGTATATGACGTGTGAGGTGTATATAGCAGGCAGTATATGACGTGTGAGGTGTATATAGCAGGCAGTATATGACGTGTGAGGTATATAGCAGACGGTGCATCATCAGCACAGGGCGGACATTGATCTCATTACATTCTGTATATCACGGGAATCTTCTCTCGTCTCTGGTGAAAGTCTTGATTTCCCGCCTTCTGGTTGCCATGGTCACACTGCCGGCGTCGTCACGTAGGCGTGCCCTCATTCCAGCGTGAGGTAGTCACATGATCACAGCAAAGATGGCGCCCGCGGCGAGCGGTTCCTGGCTGTGAGGAGAGGTCGGAGAATCCACCGCCATCCGCGCGGGGCCTGGGACGGCGGCAGTGAGGCCCCGCTCAGCCCGGCTATGACAGGCCGATGCGTGAGCGGCCATGCAGAGTGACGGCAAGGAGAAAGTGGGTTTGTTTACATCTGTGCGGTAGGGGAAAGGGGAGGAGTGGATGTCTTGTGTACTTGTATGTGTCCATAATCTGAGCCCGAGCTTACCCCTCTCTGCTCTTCCTCCACAGACCTTCCTGAGGGTGAGAGCCAACCGACAGACCCGGCTGAATGGTGAGTAAGGAGATCACACAGGGCAACCAATCAGATGGCAGGACCAGGCCTGAGGTCTCCCAGGGCAACCTATCAAATGGCAGGACCCGGCCTGAGGTCTCCCAGGGCAACCTATCAAATGGCAGGATCCGGCCTGAGGTCTCCCAGGGCAACCTATCATATGGCAGGACCCGGCCTGAGGTCTCCCAGGGCAACCTATCAAATGGCAGGACCCGGCCTGAGGTCTCCCAGGGCAACCTATCAAATGGCAGGATCCGGCCTGAGGTCTCCCAGGGCAACCTATGACAGGACCCGGCCTGATGTCTCCCAGGGCAACCTATCAAATGACAGGGCCTGGCCTGAGGTCTCCCAGGGCAACCTATTATATGGCATGGCCTGAGGTCTCCCAGGGCAACCTATGACAGGACCCGGCCTGAGGTCTCCCAGGGCAACCTATCAAATGGCAGGATCCGGCCTGAGGTCTCCCAGGGCAACCTATGGCAGGACCCGGCCTGAGGTCTCCCTGGGCAACCTATCAAATGGCAGGACCCGGCCTGAGGTCTCCCGGGGCAACCTATCATATGACAGGACCCGGCATGAGGTCTCCCGGGGCAACCTATCATATGACAGGACCCGGCCTGTGGTCTCCCTAGGCAACCTATCATATGACAGGACCCGGCCTGTGGTCTCCCTAGGCAACCCTGTCCTAATACAGCGGAATCTGTATAAAGTGTTATATTGTTACATGGGGTTGTAATGCAGAGAATTGTGTCATATGTATCATTCCGTGTTCACTCAGCCCGGTGCCAATAACACTGTGTAGACTGTACACAAGCCAGAGCCGCTCACTGTGCGCGATATTGTGTATCCCGCCTGGAACAAATTGCCGTGTTTTTATATTTTCCAGCAAATTTCTGCACATGATAACGCCTAAAGGCAGTCAAGGAGGGAGATAGACGGACAGGTTGGGGTAAAGAGTTCCAGAGGATGGGAGAGACTCTAGAGAAGTCCTGGAGGCGAGTATGGGAGGAGTGGACAAGGGAGCTGGAAAGCAGGAGGTCAATGGATGAGCGGAGGGGACGTTTAGGGTTATATATTCTCCGTCCTGCGCCGCGCTCAGGAAGTGTGACCATTATAGTGGCGGTCAGTTTGTATACAATAGTATCAGGCGCAGCGAGTTATGTATACATTGTCGCTGTATGGTTTCATCCACCTCCTGATTGTGTGTACTACGCTACACCGCAGTGCCGATATATCACATTCACTCTATGGTACTGCTGCGGGTGGGAGAACGTTTGTTATTTTCTTCCATTATCCAATCAGGTCGGGGAAAATGCCGCTTTGAATTTGCTTTATATTCGCGGTAGTGACGGGCCCAACACCCTCCTGTATTCCAATTCGACCTTTAGAAGATGGAAAAAGTTCAAACTCAATGAAAGTCTATGCGGCCAGAAGTCAGAAAATCCAATGTCCCCATTCTGAAGGCTTCTATGCAAGTTAGTGGCCATAAAAGGTGTATGGGGATCCGGGTACTGCCCTGGGGGACATGTATGGGGGTCCGGGTGCTGCCCGGGGGGACATGTATGGGGGTCCGGGTGCTGCCCGGGGGGACATGTATGGGGGTCCGGGTGCTGCCCGGGGGGACATGTATGGGGGTCCGGGTGCTGCCCGGGGGGACATGTATGGGGGTCCGGGTGCTGCCCGGGGGGACATGTATGGGGGTCCGGGTGCTGCCCGGGGGGACATGTATGGGGGTCCGGGTGCTGCCCGGGGGGACATGTATGGGGGTCCGGGTGCTGCCCGGGGGGACATGTATGGGGGTCCGGGTGCTGCCCGGGGGGACATGTATGGGGGTCCGGGTGCTGCCCGGGGGGACATGTATGGGGGTCCGGGTGCTGCCCGGGGGGACATGTATGGGGGTCCGGGTGCTGCCCGGGGGGACATGTATGGGGGTCCGGGTGCTGCCCGGGGGGACATGTATGGGGGTCCGGGTGCTGCCCGGGGGGACATGTATGGGGGTCCGGGTGCTGCCCGGGGGGACATGTATGGGGGTCCGGGTGCTGCCCGGGGGGACATGTATGGGGGTCCGGGTGCTGCCCGGGGGGACATGTATGGGGGTCCGGGTGCTGCCCGGGGGGACATGTATGGGGGTCCGGGTGCTGCCCGGGGGGACATGTATGGGGGTCCGGGTGCTGCCCGGGGGGACATGTATGGGGGTCCGGGTGCTGCCCGGGGGGACATGTATGGGGGTCCGGGTGCTGCCCGGGGGGACATGTATGGGGGTCCGGGTGCTGCCCGGGGGGACATGTATGGGGGTCCGGGTGCTGCCCGGGGGGACATGTATGGGGGTCCGGGTGCTGCCCGGGGGGACATGTATGGGGGTCCGGGTGCTGCCCGGGGGGACATGTATGGGGGTCCGGGTGCTGCCCGGGGGGACATGTATGGGGGTCCGGGTGCTGCCCGGGGGGACATGTATGGGGGTCCGGGTGCTGCCCGGGGGGACATGTATGGGGGTCCGGGTGCTGCCCGGGGGGACATGTATGGGGGTCCGGGTGCTGCCCGGGGGGACATGTATGGGGGTCCGGGTGCTGCCCGGGGGGACATGTATGGGGGTCCGGGTGCTGCCCGGGGGGACATGTATGGGGGTCCGGGTGCTGCCCGGGGGGACATGTATGGGGGTCCGGGTGCTGCCCGGGGGGACATGTATGGGGGTCCGGGTGCTGCCCGGGGGGACATGTATGGGGATCCGGGTGCGGCCCTGGGGGACATGTATGGGGGTCCGGGTGCTGCCCTGGGGGACGGGAATCAATGGTGGATAAAAAAAGGACTTTTAAAAAGAAACGGTGGGGTTCCCCTTCCCAAACAATACCAGAACCTTTAGGTCTGGTAGTAGTTTTAGGAGGGACCCCAAGTTACAATAAAAAAAAAGTGTGTGGGGTTCCCCCTCAAAGTCATAGCAGGCCCTTAACGTCAGTTAGGAATTTAAAGAAGGAACCCCACCCCGAAAAATGGGGGGGAAAGACGTGGGGTCCCCCCCTAAAATTCCCAACCAGACTCTTGATCAGAGCACAGGCCTGGCAGTGCAGGAAACGGGGGGGAGGGGATACACAGTGCCCTCTGGGAGGGTGCCCCGATACACAGTGCCCTCGGCACTGGGAGGGTGCTTTTCCAGGGTCGCCCCTGAAAAAGCCACTTGTCCTCGTGCCGATGGGGCCAAGGGCCTCTTCCCCACAAGCCCTTGGGTGTTGGTTGTGGGGGTGCGGGCAGGGGGGGTACCCAGATGTGCCCCCCCTCCTTGTGAATGAGTAAGTGGTACTTGTACATCTACCCATTCACTAAAGGGCTAAATCAAATTTTTTTAAAAGAGGCCAGAGGCCAGACTTTTGAAAAAAATCCTTTATTTGAAAAAAACAAGACAGGTTTTTTAAAAGTCTTCTATAAAAAAAAAAAAAAAAAAAATGGATCCACCGACCTAATCCAGGGTCAATCACGACGTCCAGCGTTGTCCACGACGACGACAACAACTCGACAAAATAAAACAAGAAAAAGCAATATTTAAAAAGCCCGCCGACCCGTCCGCTCACGACGAACTCCTGCCGCAGAATGGCAATCTGACAGATGCCGGCAAAATATAAACAATTGGGCGGAGCTAGCTGTGACAGCTAGCTAGCTCCACCCAACTGTTTACATTTGCCTGTCATCTGACAGGTAAGTCATGATTGGGCAAAGTCTTGCACCTGACCTGTGGGGACCTCGGTGGTTGAACACCCTGACATTTTGTGTGTTTTATTTATTTATGTATTTCTTTACATTTTATTATTTACTTTGTAATCACCTTTTTTATTTCTAGATAGTTTTTTATAAAAAAAAAAATTCACTTAACTTTATTGCTATCACACAGAAGCTAACAAGCCCATATATGATAGCATTTGGAGGTGACTGGCTCTATTTATGGAACCTGTCACCTCCAATACAGAAGATGGAGCTCAGCATTGCACTCGATCTTCTGTACAGACCCCCATGTGACAGCCGACACAGGAAGGCTGCGAGTACAGCTCTCCTGTCTCACTGATCACAGCAAATCGTAGAACAGACGTTGTCCGGGCTGCTCCCCGCTCTCCATCCTGAAATCATTACGTGGGTCCCCCAGAAAAGCGGTGGATCCCAAAAACCGTAGGGGGTGGACCTTTAGAGGGGGAGGAAGGACAATGGAGGCAGGGGGTGGACAGACAAAGAGGCTGCTATATAAGTGATCTGGGAGGCTGTACAGCCACCCGGATCACTTGCACTGAAACAAGCATCGGCTTTCCCGCTGTACATTTAGCCCTGCTTGCCCGAAACAGGGCTAAATGTAGAGAGAGAAAAAAACACCCAACTAGAGCCCAGAACTGCATGTCCCGGCTGCATGGTATTATAGAGCTACACTATAGATGCCCCTTTTCTTCTCCTATAAATCTGAGCAGGTGGAAGATGTTAGAGGTTTACCTGCATCCCCTCCCCCATTTACCCCTTCTAATTGTTACGGGTCTCCATATCTGGACCCCGTACCCAGCAGCTGTGGTATCGGCACCCGTTATGGCTGTTTGACTTTCTATGGTGCAACACAGCTGACTTTAGAAATCTTTGGCCTGTCAATGGAAAGCAATGTCCTGACTGCGTAGAATAGAATACAGCGGCTTCTCTAAGGCCCCATTCACACTGAGCGACATGAAAATAGCGCGATATTGAGCGACTTGTCGCTATTGGGCTGTATGCAATCAGGAGCAAAATCGCTCGAAAAAAGGGTCATGTAGGAGCGACAAGCTACCAGCGACGAGCTACAAGCGATATTGAGCGACGAGATGTGAACAGCTCCATTGAAATGGATTGGAGAAGCTACATAGAGCGATATCGCTGCAAAAATTGCGCGATAAATCGCTCAGTGTGAACGGGGCCTAAGGGTTGTATGGACAGCTATTAGAAGGGCTTTGTATGCCCACACAAGGTCGGCAGCAGGTTAAATCTACCTGTCGGTGAATTCCTAATGATCCCAGACGCATCACACACTGATGCTACTGACACGGGCCCTAACAGTGCTACACTAATGACAGAGATTGGAGTGGGGGGGAGGGGGGGGGCCTCACCAGTCAGCAGATGGACGGCACGCTGGCAGGTTTAGTGGAAAGCCTCTTTACAACTTCTTTCTGCCTTCTGCAGTTCTCTGGCTGGCCAGGCACTGGCTAATCTGCAGCTGCGTGACTGTGAATGTCTGCTAACCCTTACACATTTAATGAGGCACAATAACCGCTCTCCAGCAGTCCTAAAACGTTCTTGTTGGAGCTGGCTTAGTGCCCTTAGGCACTGCAGCTGTGGAGGAACTACAACTCCAGACTAGGAGTGTACGGTGGGAATTATAATATGACATAACAGCTGGAGCGCGCAAAGTGTGTTTTCTGATATCGGAAACTAGTTGACTAGTTGTGCCCGGAGCCTCTATGGGGATGAATTACTACCTTCCTGATGCACACAAACTGTATTTGGAAAGGAATAAAGATGCTCATTGGTTTGCCCTTTAAAATATAAGCATGTGTTACACAAAGCTTCGTAGCACACCCTTCCCTTGTTCCATCTTCCTGCAGACCTGAGAGATGCAGAGTCCCTCCTAAGCAGCACTTCTCTCCTGCTGTCCTGTGCATGCTCCAGCATCTCCCATAGAGGCGCCGTAGCATGTCAGCCATGGCAGAGAGGGCTCAATATTGATGGGAGATGGTGACCCATACACAGAACCAGCTGCGTCTGTGAGAACATGTTTCTTTCTATGATGGGGGAATGGGAGGGTGGTCTAGGGTACTTCATATAAAACTATACGCTTTGTTTTTATTCCAGTGCTCAGATTTTAATGTCTTGTGGTTTTCTTATAGTTTTAGCTTATTAAAAAGGAGAAATGTAAAATGTTCGCTTACTCATAGTCTGCTTTGTACAAATGAATTGGCATCTCCAAGTAAACATCTAAATACAGTTCTGAAATTCCAACGTGGAGCCGTGGAAGCTTAATCATAGAGACTAGGGCTGGTACTGATTACAATTTTCGTGTTCGATTAATCGATTTTTTTTTTTTTTTAATCGATTAATTTCAATTAATTATAACGCACATACAGATCCAACTACTTTTAGCTTTATTTAATTTTATTTCTGCTGTGATTATGACGCCTCATTAAAACCCCAAAAAATCTCTTGATGTGTATTTCCATATAGGGGACGAGGTGTCTTCAAAATGCGCACATTGGGGCAATATACTTTGTTGATGCTCTGTAGGGTCTCACCAGGGGTACGTGGGGTCTCACCAGCCTGGTTAGACCCCACAGAGCTCTGGTAAGGACCCTGGCGAGACCCCACAGAGCCCTGGGCTCTACCAGGGCTCTGTGGGGGTCTTACCAGGGCTCTGTGGGGGTCCTACCAGGGCTCTGTGGGGGTCTTACCAGGGCTCTGTGGGGGTCTTACCAGGGCTCTGTGGGGGTCTTACCAGGGCTCTGTGGGGGTCTCACCAGGGCTCTGTGGGGGTCTCACCAGGGCTCTGTGGGGGTCTCACCAGGGAGGAGCGTGCAGGACTAGCTGGTGCCGACGACATCTGCCTCTGACGCATCTCTCTCCGGGAGTCATGTCTGTGGCTGTGAGAATCTTGCAATGCCTCATGGGATTTGTAGTTCTACCACAGCTGGAGGGCCGGAGGTTTGCTACCCCTGGTTTACATACTATAAGAAGCCGGGGGCCAGAGGGTCTGCAGACGAGATGCCGCCTGTAACCCTATTTGGGTTACCTGGTTCCCGGTATTCGGCCCGTCGTTCTGGCATTTGTTTCCATGAAGTCTCCTCTCCTGAACAGACCCTCTCCTGGTATATTTATTAATTTTCGGTGTCAGTGGTTCCCGGTGCCCTTTTCATGTAATAAGCTTGCAGCAGCAGTTTTACACATGTGCTTGTCTGTCTTCTGCTTCCTGGATTTGCTGTCCTCTGTGTAGAAAACATGTGTTTTATTGCATTGGATAATCCATAGCTGCCACCACGATAAAATCTCTTGACCTTTCTGTCCGTGTTCTAATTGCCTCTCTCGGCTTGTAGTAAAGACAGGGAGCCTCTGTAACACCTGAAGTTCAGAGCTTAATGATGTTAAGACCTTTTTTAACGTAATGTTCACATTATGAGCGCTCAGCTTTTCACCTGCAGGCATAAGGTTTGAATAATAACAAAAGATCATATTAAGTAGACTTTTTCTTCTTCCCCGCTGCCACTTTTCTTTGCCGCGGCTGAATTGCATTATCTTTTCCTGAGCAGCACTATCACCATTCCGCGTTTCTTCACTTTTGATTAGTTGGGGAAGGTGGGAAACGCGGGCCCATCTGACGACAGTAGATCAAGACTGAGGGATTAGTGAGCTAATTAGAAATGATCGGGCCCATCGTTATTAATTAGTCATAGCTCGGTCTCACTTGCCTGTTCTTTTAAGCAATTCCCCTTGCAGGATGGCTGTGCGGTCACCCCGGGCCCCAGGGAACATGTTCTCGTTTTTTTCTTTTGATTGGATGTGAAAAGTGACTTTTCCAAGAGGTTGGACAAATCTTGCCGGCTCGAAGAACTTTTCCCTCTTGAGATTTCCTTTCTGAAGACCTGGTCATGAGGGACTCCGGGTTTTAGTGAAGGGGAACGGGTTATCTTTCATCGTTCTATAACAAAGATGTGATTAGAGGGTCATTTTGCCCAAAACTGAGATTTCTGTTCTAGGTCAGGTGGTGAGTTCTGGTTTTGTTCCCTGAAACTGAACTCGGAAAGTGACAATTTACAGTTAAAGCGGATCTGTGCACTCGAAAATCTAATTCTACCAATGCATCCCTCTGTATGATGATTGATAATAACACAGACATGTCGGGTGATTGTGAAATACTTACACTTGCAGAGCGTTCACTTCCTGCTTTGAAAGGGCAAATGACTTCAGTTTGGCAAAGCAATGCATCCTGGGATTGCCTTGTCATCAGCAGAGCATTGCTGGGAAATCTCGATCTGTAATCTCAGGAGATCTCAGGGAAAGGCATTTTCCTCCCCTGAGATGATGCGCAGGGTCACATGTCTAGTCACATGTGCCAGAGTTCTAGGAAGTAAGCTAGTAATCTGCTCTTAGTAAACATGGCCACTGGAGAAGAGAAGTAAGGAATGCAAAGAATACAAAGCCGGCAATTATCTAGAAGTATGTGTTTGTAGATTGTCATCACAAAACATTTCTAAAGGTGTGTTTGTTGTTATTTTAAAGATAAGGGTAAAGGTCCGCTTTAAAGTGAACAGACGTACTAATAAAGTAGGAAAATAAGGTGTGTGGGGACAAACAACGTAAGGGGGCATTCTAATGGGGGCAACTAGTGATAAAATAAAAAGTCCAGCAGGGATGGTGGAAGCTCCTCAGAATGTCTACGGCAGGTGACTGCTCTAGAAAGCACGAATTTGTCTTTTATGCAGTCCTCCAGATATAAGAATGTTTTTATCTCTATTTTGGGTGGTAAGGTTCACTAAAGGAACTTATTCTGTCTGTGGTGAAATCCTGGCTTGTGTTCGGTCCCTGAGAATTGGCACCGTGTGCTCCTCTGGTTAGATATCAGTTTGTGAAATTGAGACCGTTTGTTATAAGACGAGTGCTAACGTGTTTTTCTTTTTTTTCCCCCCTTTTTGCATCCACCAGCCCGGATTGGGAAGATGAAACGGCGAAAGCAAGATGAGGGACAGGTATGTCCACTCTGCAGTCGGCCGTTGTCTGGATCGGAGGAGGAGATGAGTAGACATGTGGAACTGTGTCTGGCTAAGGTAGAGGAACCGGGAGGTGATTCTGGCCACCCGCTGTCTTCTCTCACTTCCCTGTCTCACCTCTGCTGCCTAACACTGGGCCCCTTGTAGACTGTCAGCTCTGCTGCCTAACACTGGGCCCCTTGTAGACTGTCAGCTCTGCTGCCTAACACTGGGCCCCTTGTAGACTGTCAGCTCTGCTGCCTAACACTGGGCCCCTTGTAGACTGTCAGCTCTGCTGCACTCCTCTGCTCCTGCTATCCTGTTACTGACATCTCTAGCGTGTGTTTAACTCCTCTGTTGGTCTTAGGTCAAGCTGTTCTTTACTGATGACTATCTATAATATATATTGGAATATAATTCTCTAGCTGTTGGCCTGTACAGCCCTAGTACTTACACTGCCATTTCTGCCTCATTGTAGAGAGAGTCCAGCATGAATGAAGATGACTCTGTAGACATTGAAAATGAGAACGGTCATCGGTTTGAAGAGTATGAATGGTGCGGACAGAAGAGGATTCGAGCCACAACCCTGTTGGAAGGCGGATTCCGCGGTAAGTACCATCCTGCACGTCATTGCCGGTATAGACTAGCAAGCCTTCAGAATGCTCCTCTGTCCTGATCATTTTGTACCGTCTTTTTGCTGTCGTATTGTGTCCTTGTGACTTCCTTTTCTGCTGGAGCTACCAGTAGCTTGGAGGCCAGGAACCTTCACCTGAGCATGCAGCAATGTTATATTTGCTTCATCTTCTATGTTCTTAGCTTCTTACTGCGGTATGTTGTCTGATGTGTCCCAAGAGTGGATTTTAAAGCAAGCCTGTGTATTGCTCATGCTGGGCAAAGGAACAGATTTTAATCTGCTAATATTTTAGGCTTTCCTGGTTCCTCCTCCTCCTCAACATTCTAAACCTTTGCCTTTTTATTACATACTTTATTTTAGTCCAAGTGATGTCATCACAGGGTCTCTGGGCTTCTTTATGCAAAACAGGTGGATTATGGCTGGTGGGAGGGGCCAGCCATAATCCACAGCACCTTGCCTCAGTACCTCTCAAGAGCCCTCAGTCCTAATGCAAGCAGTGGATGGGCTCTTGGGATTGATGCTGAGCCTACATGATTGAAAGAACTGAAATCCAATGAATGAAAAGGGCGGGGCCAGGGACAGTCAAGCTAAAAAGGAGTTATATGATGCTGGCTGCTCTCCAGCCAGGAAATGAGGCGGAGCTCTATCGGACTTGCTGAAGCTTCTTATGCACATTGTGAGACACTCAGAGTGTGCAGTGAAATCAGGAGAGTAGCCGGTACAAATGGGAAGGGCTGGAGTTCAGATGTAAGATTCCTCACCCTGAAGTATATCCTCTCCTTTTCTTGGCTGCTGGGAGTCATTTCCAGGTATGAAGAGACATGTGACCACACTGGTTCCTAGTCCAGGACTTTCCAATGAGCACTATATCACCCTCTCTCCACAGGGTCATTTGCAAAGAAGGCCATCCCTATGAAAGAAGCCCACCTACATTTTTGGTTGCTGTTCTTGATTTGCTGCTGCTTCACTCTTCCCATTACAGCTATTGGAAATTCTTACCAGCCTATACAGTGCAGCGATAGTGGATGGACATCTCAGTCCCGCCCACTAACATGGAGGCATTTGATGGACAGGCCAGGGGACTCCTGGTCTGTCGCACCCATTGCATGATAGGAATTGTAGTTTGTTCCAGCTGCCCTCTCCAGTGACAGGAGCAGAGGTCAGCATTTCGCGAATACCTCCTCCTGGGCATAGCTATGGCTACTTAGTCAGTCATGACGTCGCAGACCATTACAAGAAAAGGTTCTGTTCAGCTTTAAGGTGTTTTTTGTATCAGAGAACTGTTGATGACATTCAGTGTTCCTGATGAGTTGCTGAATGCGTCTTGGCAGATCTATCTGAATCCCGTGTACTGCTCTCATTGAAGTGGTGCCGCCTTTGTGGAGAAAAATCTGTAAAGTGAATCTAAAACCAATAGTGTTATCTGTGCTCAGAGGGAAAGCGTTGTCATCCCTTAAACGGCTTACCACACATAAAAGGAGACAACATAGAGCCGAGATCCGCACATTGAGCGCACAGACAGACGCCCGCCGCTGATTGCTTCTGCTTGTAAACAAAGCCTGATGGTGATAAGTGGGGTAATGACTTGGGATCGGCTCTTTAACCCTTTGCCAGTTGCATGCACAGTGCTGGAGTATCATCTGCTTTCTTTCCCCCAGAAGGATGCCATTTTGTTTTCCCAGCTTCGGCCTTGTATGTAATTCTCCCACAGCCACCAGTTTTAGGCAGAGTCTACCTTCCATGTGTCTTGTTACACCATATTCAGGGCATTCTGGTGACACACACACCATACCTGAATCACAAGGTACTTCTACCTGGCTGAACATGGCTCCACCGCATCATCTGGGCCAAGAATTGTTTACACATTGACTACAAGCCCCATCTGACACCACAGCAGAGAACATGCTGGCAATCCCTCCTCTGTCACTGCCATAGTTCAGTACTTCTTCCAGCCAGGTCTGTACCTCCATAGAGGTCTGGTCCTGGGGAAGACTTTGCAGGAGCCTGAACATTGATCATGGTTGCAATGCTCTGCAATGCATTTAATAAATGCACTTTTATTTTAATGTTTTATGAAGATCCATTTATTTTATTTATTACAGGTATTTATATAGCGCTGTCAATATACTCAGCACTTTACATAGTGCACAATCGCATCAGCCCCTGCCCTGAGGAAGCTTACAATCTAAGGTCCCTATCTCGCATACATACAGGAGTCCATTAACCTACCAGCATATCTTTGGAGTGTTGGAGGAAACTCACACAAGCACAAGGAGAACATCCATACATTTAAAGAGCATCATCATGGCTTCACCACAGCCATACTGCTGCTTTAAAAATGAGTGATGTTTACTACGTGCTCACCCCTCCACTGATTTTGGGGCTGAGACCGGAATGTATTATAGTCGTCCTTGATTGGTCTGAGCTGTGCATTGTGGGAGAAGGTCACATGCTGTCCCCATAGCTGCAAGCAGTGGGTATTTTGGCATCTCTGAGGTAGTGGAGCACAGACAAGTAGAGTATACTCGGGGTGGAGGTTAAAGGGACATGAAATGGACCCTAAAATGCAAGTCTCTTTAAATTATGCCTCATGTTTAGGGAAAAGGATCATATAGCAGATTATGACTAAAGGGAACCAAAGAAAATATAGTTTAGACTGGAACGTGCAATATCTAGCAATGCTTTCTTTTTATTTGCTTGCATGGTAGTTGTTGTTTACTATGCACTATGGGTTTAGTTTTTAGCTAACATGGAGATACACACAAAGATTTCAAAATGTTCTATAGACGTTTACAATGCCTGTGGAAGATGAAAGCAGTCTGTATTGGTTCTGGTCATCTGTTCCCATCTTATCTGCAGACAGCCAAACTTTGAGGAGCCGAGTTGCAATGGTATACACTCAATCCCATATACACTCTTGTAATGTCACTTCTTTTTTTTTTTTTTTGCCGTGCGTGTCCAGCGATGGGGCAAACGTAATAAATAGTATTTGGAAGTTGTCGGATGCGTCTTGGCGTGGAGGAGACATGAGCGCGAAGTGAGCAGTATGTCAGTCTATTGATCGCACCTCAGCCAGGAGCAGTAAAGGCACATGCCTCTAAGCACAGGCAGCAGCGTGCTTAATGTGATTGAAAGGCAGTTAAAATGGCGGTGACCTTTTCAGGGAAAATTAGATTGCCTGCCAAGAGTGGTTAGAGGGAGTGATAACGCCAGCTTGAGGAAACTGTCCGGTTGGATTGTAGGTGAGATAAGGAATGTGAGCAAGTGTAGAGCACCCTCTGCGGCACCCCTGGATATGTCCTACAGATGGGGGTGCCAGTGTGCCTCCTAATTTGCTGCTATGTGGAAGTGTTTCAGGCGGGGATATATACAATACCTGGCCGGGTGTTGGTATACCTTCTATGTCAGCAAATTTCAAGTCCCTATAACCTTTGTGCACCATTTTTACAGAATTGTTCCAGGTTATACCAGTAAAAGGACAGCCGGTCTAATCTTCCATGACACTAGAAATCCACCTCAGGTTGCTTTCTTTGCAGAGAAGTTCACGTCAAACCCAATCTGCCTTCCGCCGTCAGATGCCAGCCGCCCAGATTCTCTCAAGTCTGCTCGCTGCATCCAGGTTGCGTCAGTCAATCACCTTTCAGCCTCGCTGCTGGCAAGATGGCAATTTAGGGCAAGGAAAGTGGATCATGAAATTGCTTTCCATTTGGAAAATCTACTTACAAATTTCACTTTGAGGACAGGAAAGTTTGTCCCGGAGGAGCAGTAGGCTCCAAGATGGGAGATACTGGAGAATTAATAAGAGGAGCAAGTTTTACAACCTATTGAATCAAATGCAATTTATACGTAAACATCCCCGTTCCCTGGGCAGGTGCGCGTCACTGGGCAGGTGTGCGCCCCCGGTCCCTGGACAGGCGTGTGCCCCTGGTCCGGCGCGTTCCCCGAACTAGGAGGATCTGCATATAACTGGATAGGAAGCTGGAAGGGCAAAAGTTAAAGTTTAAAGGCACAGTCTGCCTTTTGCTAATAATCAGTAAATGCTCACACATTAATAAAAGAAAAAAAAATGCATGGGGGGGGGGGGGGG